GCTCTGAGGTTACAGATTTCATCTGGAGTGCCCTGTAACTGCTTCCAAGAGTATTGTTTACTACTTCTCTGTTATTCTCTCCCCGCAGCTTACTGGCTGTATGTGTCTTCTTGGAGCAGTAATGTCCTGCAAGTGGTAAACTCGGTTTTGTGCTGAAGACTGTCTCCACCTGCATTGACTTGATCTTTTTCCATTGTGTAACATTGAAGCTTTAATGCAATCATCCCACCACCAATATGTTGCAAAACCAAGAACTGGCAGTTTGTAGTTGGGGTGGAGTGCTGCCTTCCTTTTTAGACAATTTTCATCAACCTGTTCAAAGACATTTTTGAAGCAAGTAGGACATGAATATGGGCCTTCTGATGAAAAGATAGGGACACTTCCAACTGTGCTACAAGACCCTCCAATTTTCCTTTTCAGAGTTTTAAAAAAATTAACCTGTTCAGAGATGTTATTACTTCTCTCTGGCAAAGGTGGGACTTGAAGTTGGGTTCAGGAGCAGGGACACTACCAACATGCTACGAGAGCCCTCTCCAAGAAGCCACACTATTATTTTTAAATCAACCTATTCTGGGATAGTATTACACACCTCTAGAGCAAGTAAGACTTAAAACGCAGGTCTCCTAGCCCAGAGGTAGGAAGATTACTACTGTACCACAAGACTTTCCAATTTTCTTTCTTATACTATGTCCAATGGCCTATCCAATTAGCAATGGTAGATGATAAACCATTGTTGAGTTTAATGCAAGAGGCACATATCTTAGCAAAACAATGTAGTTTATTGCATGATGGCAATGGACACAAGTTATATGACTAGTTAGGTATAACTACAAAGGCAGTCAGGATCCAGAGATGACATCTGTCTCTATCATCATTAAGTGGTATGGTGGTTCAGTGGTTAGCACTGCTACCTCACAGCACAAAGGACCTGAGTTTAATTCCACCCTTGAGTAACTGTCTGTGTGGAGTTTGCACATTCTTCCTATGTCTGTGTGGGCTTCTTTCCATGGTCTAAAGATGTGCAGGTTAGGTGGGTTGGCCATATTAAATTGCCCCATAGTGTCTGGGGATATGCAGGCTAGGTGAATGTTCCATGGGAAATATAGGGTAGGGTGAGTGGGTCTGGGTGGGACACTCTTTAGAGGGTTGGTTGTAGACTTGATGGGCTGAAAGGCCTGTTTCCACACTGTAGGATTCTAAGTGTTGATCTAGTCTTCACTCAAAATCTGTGTTACATCATCAGATTAAGTGGAGCCTGTCACAGCTTCAATATTGACTCTTTCAGACACGTTACCTTATACAGAACTAAATGCAAAAATGAAATGTTTTACTACGTTAAAGCACTAAACAAATCCATGTTGTTGGTGTGCCAACATTGTAAACTTACCTTATTGCCATGATAAGGCAGCTAGGGCTTCCAACAGATTGTGGAAAGAGCTGAGAGAATTTAGCCCAGAAATCAGAATCTGCCATCAACCACCAACCTATTAAACTGATGTAGGATCTTGGTGCAGTTATATTACATTGCAATAATATCATTCATATCTTGTACCACTAAGCCAGAGGAGTAGGAGCAAAGCACTTGAACTTTGGAAATTGTTACACCATTCAATAGGATCACAACCGACCTCAAACTTTTCACCTCCACTAACCTGCACTACCCCTTGATTCCTTTAATGTATTGATGATCCTGTCAGTGACAAGTTCCAAAGGTTCCCCGTCTTTTGAGTCACACTTTGTCACATGATTACGCACTCTAGTTCTAAACTCCCCAAACATGAGAGAAAACCGTTTTTCATCTAAATTGTCAAGGCCTCTAAGAATTGTACAGATTTCAGTGAGATTGTCTCTCGGTCTTCTAGCTTGAGAGGACATGATAAAAATGCAACATAACCACTGACTTCATCATTCTGAACAAGCAATGATTTGAAATTGGCCCAAATGGTAGTTTAACTGCAGCCTCTGTAAAAGCTTTCAACTTTTATATTACAGATTTTATTATTGAAATGTGAATTAAAAAGCTACTGTCAACTCACTACCATTGAATATTTCACTAACATTCTAACAAGAATGAATGGAGCTGCTGGAGGGTTTAAATGGGAAGATGACATTAATAACAATGATTTTGAACAATTTTTTAAAAAAATATACACCCAATACCATGTGCATAGACATAAATAAACAGCAAATGATCTGGCTGATAAATACGATTGGATTAAAAACAAAGTAATCTAGAGAAAAGCTTTTTGGCAGCAGCATTACACTGCAAGAAGGCTTTGCTTTTATTTTGATTCCAAATGGCAGCAAATCAAGTCATTTTCTAAACAATATTTGTATTTGTATTGATTGCAATGTGATGTTCTGTTCTTAAAAACCAGAAAATGCTGCAAACAAGCATCAGGATTTTCAGAGTGCAAAAGAAAACACGCAATAAATATCACGGGTTCATCTTTCACAGCCTTGACAGTCACTACCCAGAATATTGGTCTGACAACTGGACTGCTGCCAGCATTTTTCTTTCTGTATATCCTCCCATTGAGATCTTGTTGTATAATGTCATACGTGTAACCAATGAGCTAGAAGTTTTGGATTAATGTTCCACTCCTGAACTTGATGGTTATGATGGTGTCTTTGTAATGCTGCCAAAAAGGTTGAGAGTCACTTTGTAAACTCTTCCAACACACACACCAAAGGCAGGTTATGAATGGAAGAAATTCATGGTCAACCATGACCATAGCTCTAGGCTACATCATGAACATGAATGGGCATGTTGCTACAGCTGGGTGAACTATACAATATGGCTATTTTATCCACATTTTAACTGCAATATTTTATGCATACTTCCATCAAGTCTGAATGCCAGTCCATTCTGATCCAAATCCATCTCTGACTAACTCATCTTCTGTTCTCAAAAGTGGAAATTGTTCATCAGAACTGTAGCTTGGGGGATGACTGGACTGAACAAGCCACTGTATGCATTCACTTGATATTCCCGAGTCAACTCTTTTAACCAACAAATTAACCAGTTCTTATATCATTGGTTTAACATTTAAAATAATAGGAGAACATTGTTTGGTTCATTGAATGTTCTGTACTAATATCTGCAGCATCCTTTTCTAGGATGCAGTATGGAAGATTCAGAAGTTAAAGCTGAAACATCATTTCCCACTTTTCTACATCAATATATGTGAAGCAAGCATACCCAGCATCACCAATGAATGAATTATTGATCCTCTGTTTCTGATGGTATCTAAGCAGGAATGCAATAGCCCATCAAGAATGGACTGGAATTCAGCAATTAGCTGGTAATAATGACATTCACATGTGCTGATGAGTTCATTTAGAGGGACAGTGGATTATCAATTAACAACACTGTTCCTGATTCAAAAAGATTTGAATTGTCTGAAACCTGAATGTACCAAGTTTTGTTTAGCAGATGAACATATCAAAAAACAGCAAAGCTCAGGAATAAATTCCAGAACAGTTGTGGGGTAAAGGGTCCTGCTAGCACATCAACTTCAAAAAGGAACTTTTCAATAAAGGGTTTTTTTTCTATTCGTGGAATGTTTTCAGTCATTGCTGTTAAAGGGAAGATGCCATCAGCCAATGGCTATATCCCAGGAATTGTAGCAAGTTTGTTGTAGACATCTTCAAAACAAAACAACCTGTTCAGACATGTTTGCAACATATGCCTGAGGCAGATGGGACTTGAACCTGGATTGTTTAGGACAGAAGTAGAGATAGTACCACTGTGCCACAAGAGTCCTGACAGCTTTGTTCAATGTTTACTTGTGATTAGATCAGTGTTTTGGTCTGTATTAGTGAGTTGGTTAGCCCAGTTGGCCTGCTGGCTAGGCAATGATTCACGCCAACACAGTGGGTTCCATTGGTGTCTGGCTGAATTAGAGCTGGGACATCCCTCCTAACCCTTCCCCTGAGATTGGAAGGCAATGGCTGACCAAAACAGGCAAGAAAAGAAGGCTTACTGTACTCAACACATTAACTGCTTCTCTCCTAATAGATGCTGCCAGACCTGCTGAACTTCTCCTGCACTTTCTGTTTTTGTGCAAGAACCTGGAGTAAATATGAGAGAACGAGCCTAGGACATGCTTTCAAAGCAGAGCACATGAAACAACATCAGTACTGGAGAAGCTCAGCAGGTCTGGCAGCATCTGTGGAGAGAGAAACAGAGTTATCATTTCAGGTCCTGTGACCCTTCTTCAGAACTATTCTGATTTTGTTTCAGATTTTCAGCATCTGCCGTTATTTTTGTTACATGTGGAATAAAATCTTCTCTAGCGTGGGGAAGAGAGGCTGGCTGGGAAATTGATTTGAAAATTCTTGTCAAACCATCCCGTCTTTTATTTGTGCGCAAAACATTTCGACTTGACTAATCATCCAGGCAATAAATAACCCCGGAAGACTAATGTAGTGCCACTGATTTGAATTATCAATAACTTTCATTAACTCTATTAAACTCTCCTATGTTAGACTCCTCCTGCTGGTGAATGGTGTCATTGCTCTTACCCAATTCAAATTGACATAGAGTCACAGTAAGTCATAGAGTTATACAGCATGGAAACAGATGCTTCCATCCAACCAGTCCATGCCGACCATAATCCCAAACTAAACTAGTCCCATCTGCCTGCTCCTGGCTCTTATCCCTCCAAAACGTCACTGATCACATTTTTGGCTCTGTCTGCTCATGTGCTATTAAGCAAATTTGAAAGAGTCAAAAAGTACTGCAAAACACTCAGCAGTAACAGAGTGTAGAGAGCGAAAATAAACAATGCACGTTTCAAGTCGATGGTACTTTCTCCTGTTAAGATCCAGGCATTGAGCTGAACTGCTAACTCTGTTCCTCCCTCTCTCCACAGGCGCTAGGTCAATTTCAGCTTTTCCAGCGCTGGGAGGAAATCGAGTGTTTTGCTTGAGCTGGAAGTTGGGAGCAGGGAAGAGCTGAGGGTTGATGTCTCCTTTAAGAGGCGGGCGGTGAGTGAGGTTCTCGCTGCTGTTTAGTGCTGGTCAGGGACTGCTTGGAGCAGTGAGTTAGCGTCAGAGAGCCTGGCGAGAGGAGAGAGTATGTAGTGTGTGGAGCTAGGCGCATGGTGTAACTGCAACGACAATGACTGAGGCAGCCAGCAACAAATCCTCAAAGACATCGCAGCGGCTCAAAAATATCCGCAAAAACTCCATCAGCCGCAGGATTTACTCGGCAGCTTATGAAGAGCATGAGAACAGGTGAGACCGAGTTTGGGAATGTGTATTTTGTTGGGGAATGCAGGGGGTTGGGGGGAGAGACTCTAGTTAAGAGAGAAATAAAGTGGTGCTTGTGATTAATTCCGTCCCAAAAAAACGTTCACTACAAATTTCCAGTATTTGGAGAGGTTTGAGAGGTTTGAGTTGTTTGGGATCTATCCCAAGTTCAGAATTAATCTTTACACTTCATTCTAATTAAGGTGTACTCAGATGTATAAGTAGGTGATTAGATGTACTTAGTCGTTTTAAATTTTAAATTAATAATTATTTACTTATATTTAAAGGATGTTACCGAGACTGGAGGGTTTGAGTTATAAGGAGAGGCTAGGACTTTTTTCCCTGGAGTGTAGGAGGCTGTGGGGCATAAATAAAATAGCCAAGGTCTTTTCCCCAGAGTGGGGGAGTCCAAAACTAGTGGGCATTGGTTTAAGGTTGAGGGGGAGGGGTAAGATTTTAAAAGAACCTAAGGGGCAACATTTTCACACAGAGGGTGGTAGGTATATGGAATGAGATGCCAGAGGTCATAGATCATAGAATCCCTACAGTGTGGAATCAGGCCCTTCAGCCCAACAAGGCCGCACTGACCCTTGGAGCATCCCACCCAGACGCATACTCCTATAACCCACCTAATCTAGGCATCCCTGAACACTACGGGCAATTTTTTAGTATGGCCTATCCACCTAACCTGCACATCTTTGGACTGGTAGAGGTGAGTACAATTACAACACTTAAAGACATTTGGACAGGTACATGGATAGGAAAGTTTTAAAGGGATATGGGCTAAGTACAGATAAATGGGGCAAGTTCAGTTTAGGGAACCTGGTCGGTGTGGATCAGTTCGGCCGCAGGGTCTGTTTCCATACTGTATGCCTCTAAATTATTATTTATTGGAGAAAGATTATTGGACATCATTTGCTTTTTACAAACTGCAGTAATTGGTAAAAACAGAACAGGAATGGATTGGAAGTGCTTTCTAAGTGAGTGCCTCCTTTGGTCAGTTTTGATGCTTTCGAGCCCTTGGATTTGAGACTGAGAGAAGTGCCTTTGTGTGTTTGTCTAATACAATCACAGTAACTCGGAGGATGATGAGCAGGACGACGAAAAGGCTGACTGCAAGGATCCAGAAGAAATCTTCCAGAATATTCAGATTCAGAAAGAAATTATCTCTAACATTCGCTGCAGACCCTGGTCAATGCGTCAGAAGCTAAAGGCGCTCAGGTAAGAAAAGAAAACCTTGCACCACTGGTTCCCAGGGCAAATCTCCCATCACTGTTCCTTCTGAGCTCACTGCAGAGTTATTCTTTCCCTGCCTGCCTCTGCTCAGATTTAATAATTCTAAAGATTTAATGGACACTTTGTGTCCCGGCAGCTGGTGGGTGCCCATCAATTACAATTCCACTCCTTTTGAGGTTCATCTCTGGTCAAAAATGTTTCGGGCATACGTGACAAGGGCATCTGAGGAGACACCTGAGAGATCTGTTTGCTTTTTGCAATGTCCCTTTATTCAGATTGTGTGAGACTTGCACCAGCAACATCCATCATTGTTTCAGGTTGTCACCTTTCTCACTGGATCAATGTTCCAACTGCTCAGCATCAGACACCCCCAGATTTGTCACCTCTCTAGTACATGCAATGCCATAATCTGAATAATAATACAACAGAGAACTGCAGATGATGGATATCTAAAACAAACAAAAACCAAAATTACTGGAGAAGCTCAACAGGTCTAGCAGCATCTGTGGAGAGCGAAAAACAGAGTTAACGTTTCGAGTCCAGTGACCTTTCTTCAGAACTACCATTAACTGTTTTATTAGCCATCAAGCACACAAACAGGTAGATTACTTTAAAATAAAGAAGGGTCATTGGTCTCAAAAAGTTGACTTTCTCTCTCCATGGATGCTGCCAGACCTACTGAGTTTCTCCAGCAGTTTCTGTTTTTATTGTAGAGTATGCATTAAGTCCATTCCTTACTTTAATGTTAGCCTGCAAGATGATAATTGAAACTGAGAATAAATATCTTTCTCAATCTCCCACTACTTCAGTTTGTCTTGCTTAAGTAACTTCCCAATCATAGGTATTTTTTGAACAATCTGTTCAGTGATATCAGTACACACCTCTGGAGCAGGTGGAACTTGAGCCCAAGCCTCCTGGTCCAGAGGTAGGGACACTATCACTGAACCACAAGAACCTGATACTGTCTTGGTCACAAATTTAGGAGTTTAACTGGTTTCTGATAACTTGCCAGTCTAATGGCTGAATCAGTTCAGCTCCATTTACAATGCTGCAAATCACATATCTAGATATGTAACTTCTCAACTACAATTTTACCTTTTGCAATTGTTTTCTGTTTCTCAAATTGGTTCTGCTATAAACTCATTGTATCAGTATTGTTCTGGGAGATTACATGATTGGCCGTGGCTGAGGATGTCTCCCTTTCTCTCAACTGTCTCTTGGAAGGAGAAGACAGCCAAGGGAGGAAGAGAGAAAAAAAAAGATGGAAAGTGAGAGAGGCTGTAAGGAAAAAGGGTGAAGTCAGTGAAAGGTAAAAGAGATGGAAAGGGGAAGTTGAAAGACTAAGGGAGAAACAGCAAAAACAAATTTAAAATTCACATTCCGCATTGATAGTCCACTTTGGGTCAGTCTGTGATCGATGTGAGGGATTGTGTTGTCCTCTGTGAGCTTTCCTCTTACTCTGGAATCTTAACTGTGCTGTTTCAGTCACTGTGGGTGTGCAGGACAAGCTTGGTGGATCACTTAACCTCATCCTGTTCTTGATGTTATTGTGGTTGTCATTCTGTTCTGTACTGTTGCACTGCAGGTATCATTTTGATTCTGTTTGTCAAACCATCTACAGTAATGTAACACTGCAGACTGATCATAGTCAGCCAATGCAGAATCAAATCCTAAAATTAAAAAATGGTAAAATTTAATAAAATATGCATTAATTGTTCTAATTTATCAGAAAACATAAGTAAACTGCAAAGCTGGAAATATGAGACTTAAAAATCAGAATGTGTCAATCAGAGAGGTTAATGGGTGAAACTTGTCAGAGGCAATGGTGCCAGTAGACCCTGTGACTTTGGAAATGAAAATCAAGCAGGTTAGAAAATGACTGAAAACAAAACAGAAATTGCTGGAAAAGCTCAGCAGGACTGGCAGCATCTGTGAAGGAAAAAACAGAGTTAACGTTTCGGGTCCGGTGACCCTTCCTCAGAACGG